ACATGCAATTTGAGGTTGTTGATAAACATCAGAAATATGTGCGGTCCCAGCACTGAACAACGTGGAACACTGCGTTCCTACCCAGTAGGGTAGGAGAGTGATCCCCTAACACGCGCTTGAAGTCTCCGTTGGAGAATAAAGTTGGCAATCCCACTAAGAATGAGATCTCTGATTCCATAAATCTGTGAAGTAGCATGCGGTGATCCCGGCGATTAAGAGCTTTGGAGAAGTCCAGCTAGATGACGTCGACGACGACCCCACCATCAGTCACTTCGTCCAACTACCTCGTACCATCAACAGGTTGGTGGTGCATGACTGATACTGATGGAAGGAACGCTGCTCGGGTGCCAAGACATTGTATTATCCAGGTAGTCCGTTAGAGTTTCAGTGACGACCGCTTCTTTACGTTCGACAGCCCAGGGACGGGAGTCACTGGATAATGGTTTGCAGAATCTGCTGGGTTACAGCTTCTACAAATTGTGATAATGATGTCATGCTTCCACCAAGCGTTTACTTGTCCACCGAAGTATCTCTGAAACTGCTGAGGTATGGCACGACTAGCTTAGTGGCTACAGCTTTCAGTGTTTTTGGGCGAATGATGTAGGCTCCCGTAGAGCTAGGATCGCGCAATGAGCACCACTACCTAAGCCCAGCCGCTGGGCTGAAAAACCTGCAGTCGTTAAAGTAGAGGAGGATATGTTACAGGGATATGCTACAAGTATTGCAGACGCCGGGCATTGGCTGTGTCGTTGACTGTTTGTACCTACCGCCTGTTGTGAGAAGTAGATACATGCTCTGCTTTACTTCACAAAGGCTGTTGACATGCCCATACAACATTCTGTGTTTGTCAGCAACCTTTTGGGTAAGCACTCTTGATAAGTTACTTTGCCCTCACGAACCAATGTGATCGAATAGTGGCGGTGGGTCAGGTAGTAGCTTCAGTTCTATGAGTCTAATCTGCATGCATTTATGCTGCGTCCTTAATTGCCATGCGTTTTCGAGTCATGCTTCTCAGAATTGACCACACTTTTACGGACTGTAGTGACTTTTGATGTTATGTCGACCATATCACTGAGTCCTTCAACGCACTCTGTCAAAACGTTGCGAAGAGGACCGGTGTTCGAGAACTCCCAAGCGGATCCCTCGAAGAGTTCTTTCAGGACGTGGTATCGGGTGATTTTATGGGTTCATTCTGATTGTTCTGATGGATACTCTGCATAGTAGGCTTAGTTAAATGTAGTGACTAGATAGGCGTTAAGCCCTAATGAACTCTTCATCAATAACTTGTCGAGCTTGAGCTTTTCCTTTTTAACCCATATTCAGTACGGATGGTCTCTTTGTTGTCATGAATCTAGTGGGCATGCGACATAAACAGAACGTGAAATTGGCGATAAGTTCATGCAAGTCTTCTTTGGATTGTTCAATGTAAGATGCCGATAACTCCAGATGGTGTACAATGAAGTCACCGGCGATGAGAATATGGTTTCACTTAGCCTGTATTACCCTGTTCAACTCATGTATCAAGCTGGAATCCATTTCCGGATTGGATGTTGGGCGGCGGTAAATGACAGCTATAAGATATGCGTCTTAGTCGGAGACGGAACTAGATTGCCTGGGTAAAACGAGTTTCCTGATTATCAAGTATTGCACAGTGCAGGTGACTACCGAGGTAAGGAAGCAATATACCTTCCCTGCTGGGACAGTAGTTTCGCATGAGGGATATTAATGCTATCTCAACTGCAGAATAAGCAACTTCTTGGTGAAATCAGATTGCAGAAATGGAATTTAGATCCAACTTATCTGCCACCTGACTTACCTGAAGTTCGATAAGCTTACTGAGGAGCCGTTAGACAATAGTGAACATGCATGAAGTATCTCAAATTACATAAGGATATCTGAGATCGCGCAATTCATACTTGTAGTTTCGCCGACCAGTTAGTGACCAGCGAATATTTGTTTTTTTGGTAGGTTCTTGTCGGATGATTCGACATCTTATTAATCGGTTACGTATTTAGTCCTATATCTGATCTTTTACAGTGTGTAAGAATGGTGGTCATTCACTTCACCCACAGGTTGCATGTACTTATCAGACACACTGCTGGTGCACTGTTCCACAATAGCTCCCATCGTACCTGTTTCGTTAAGACACAAATCATCTCTGGAGTGCATAGCGCTCGCTGCTTTCAGAAGAAGCTCAGATAGCAGTCTGCAACAAAACATGCACCGGATTTTCAGTGACCTTGCCACCAAATATGTTGCCCGTTAGAGTTTTGACCATTGTACATTTCATCTTTGCCACTGTACTTTCTTAGTCCTATTCGAGTCACTTATTGTTCACTTTGTTTTATTCAGCTCAATCGATAAACTCTTCTTCGAAACGCCTTCTGCGTTGTCGCTCCGGTATGATGCGCGGATCTTTGTTGTGTTTCCTCCGCGTGGTCATTCCCTCCCGCCTTGATCGCGCTACGTCATCCGCCGGATCTTATCACTAGTTTGAGAACTACTAGAGGTCAGAATTTTGCCGACCGTCTTTGCCTTAACCAACTGTGTGTATAGTTGTAGTGCTAGCACGTTTGCTACAAACCAGTTTCAACACGCTTGGGCTATATCTTTTGTAGTCCGATGATATATCGTGGTTGTGACAATGATTTCGTTAGCGCGTCAACCAATGACTGTGTTTAACGAGCATATCACCATCGTTCCTTATCATCTGCCGTTATTTTACACGTTTAGCATGCCTTAGTTTCAGGAACGCCGTAGACAAGTATGGTTCTGGCTAAAGTCTCCTTCCAATGGTCTTCTAAGCTGTGGCTACTCCGATAACTTTTGTCCCATGGGAAGTCTTGAAATACATGGATGGAGCAGTGATCATTTCTTTGCCAACTTGTTGACTGCAGAATTTATTATACTTCGGTGGTGGAGTTCAGTATAATGCGTAGAAGTATTGGCACACCATAATGCTTAGAGTTGGGGTACGCGTAAGTGGTACCACATGTAAATTTTCAAACGCAGCGCCGAATAGCTCACTGATGACATCCCACTGTTTGAGGTTATCCAAGTTCCAGCCACTAACTGACAGAGTCATCGGTTCCGAGACACTAGAGCACAGTAGGCTCAGCACAGGTTTTGGTTTCTGGGTATTTTTCGATATGTCACGGGTAGTGGTTGTGTGTGTACCGCAGGAAACCGGTAATGCTTTTACCACGTGTACTCCGCTTGGCACTTCATTTTCCGATCCAGTGGGGAGGGAGGTGCTGCCGTTTTTAATTGACGGCCCATTTTGGAAGAAAAAGTAACCCAACTTTCTCTTGTACGGGCTACATTTTAGCTTTGCACTCAATCGGGAAAATGGAAAAAACTTCGCCTGTAATTACTCCGATTGAACTGAGAACCGGACTAGTAGAATGTGAGCTGCTTATAGTATTGAAACAGCAGTTACTTTTCTGAGCAATTGGTGTCGTTTTGCATACGGAGTTACCAGCCGTTCTTCTCGGGATTGGAACAGCACATACTAGAGTGGTCTTGGTTGCACAGCCCGTTATGCTCAACCCCAGTGTGGTGTTTTGGTGGTCACCAATTCCTTAATACTTGTATAGTAGTTGGCTGCATGTTCTCATTGTGAATCGCAATTCCATCACAGGGACCGTAACTGGTGATGCGAATGGATATTAGATGTTTTAGGCGGGTAACACCCAATACTCAGCTGATTCCTCGGTTACGACCCCAACAAGAATGGCGGTCCACAAATGAATTAGTTTGCACCCTTCCACCTACAACTCGGGATGAGGGCCTTGGTGCGAGCACCACCGTGCTAAACCCGAGATTCCACTGCGATTAGCCCCTAAGGGTACTAATGTACTCTTCTGTCTTAATGACCAGTTAAACTAATTTCTCCAGGAGAGTATAATGGTCGGGATCGACAAGAGATTAGCAATTCAAAAAGCATGCTGAAGCTTGAGGATTAACAATCCTTCCTGCGACTCCCTGATGAAACTCAATCACAACACGCAACCTATGATGATACTGGGAACGCAATGCAGCTAAATGCCGTCATGCCTTCAAAAATACCCGCCTTGTGACCTCGACTTAAACTATTCCACTTCTGTGCCCGCGTTACTGATTTTAATCTAGCCTCTGGATTACACATTGTGACAAGTGTACTATTGCTATAACCTGTGTTAGCTCCCCGACTGTATAGCACATGGCGCATTGGTAAAATCGACACACGCACAATCACAGCCGTCACTTGCATGCGTCCATCGACACAGTATTGCCGGTTTTGCCATTCTCACCATAAACATCCTGTGGGACTTTTTAATCATCAGTTTTTGCCCCTAAATGAATCTTTGCCACAGTTCTCATGTACATCGAATTTGGACTTGATTGTAATCGTACTGAATCGCTTGTTCCTCAAACTGCTCCAGTAAGACGGACAAATTGCGCGCCAAACTTAGCTCCTACTTCAGATATTTTGCTCCAAGATATCGCTACCTGTCCACCTTCCCAAGCGGTTAATTCTCAGATGCTCAGTTCATTTAAACTGAATTTGTCGCATGTTTTCTCTTGTAATGAACGATGAAATCCAACAATATAAGAAACCAGCCTACCTCATCGATTCACCCACAATGGTATGCATTGTCATGCCAAGCATCAGTTCACCTAAAACTTTACATCTTTCCTTACTATTCTACTGAGCCATATTGCTTCACACTGTTTTCTCAAACAGCAAAGTCCATCAAATGCCAACTTTGGATCACCTTATGAAGCCGTTGTTGACAACTGCTGTACCAGTACACGTTTTTGCAATTCCGTACACTTCGTGTGGCGCTTCAACATTGTCATACTGTAGCTTCAAAGAAAAACAGAGACTTTAGATGCAGTCACGTGTGCACAACCAATCGGATGCAGACAGTGTCACGATTACGCCTACCCTCAACAATCGATAGGTTCGCAAAAGTTGATTGGTATTTTGGTTGAAGACTCTATGGCGGGTATTTCAATGATCGGCCAATTAAAGTACGCGACTGTGCATCGTGAATAGTAAACCACGTTGGCTAGTCGCAAGCACGAATTTCGTCGAGCCGCTACAATATGGATGAGTTAGAAAGGCATGTGGCGATAACCTCCAACTATAGCACATAACAGTATCAGCATGTACAAAAATCTTGCGGTTCAAACACTTGGCGATGCGGTCAATGGTAGTTACCCGCCTTTGTCTCCTCCTAGTCGCATTTGTTGCAATGGAGTTGATTCAAAACAGCCAACATGTGTGACTAAAAAGCTACGCGACGAGATGGATGGTCCTCAACGAATGACACAAGTGGGATTTGAGAACCGGAGCGTGACAATCATACACATGAAGAATGGCCCCACCAATGGCGTACAGAATGGTCCCAAGTCATTCAACATATCGGACAGGAATCATGAAATTGCGAGACAAGCTAGCGTGTCTCCAACTGCCGATGGTATGCTCACCGATGATGGTGGACCTAGTGCAGCTCGATTCAGCCCAAACAGACTTGCTGGATCATTCACATCAACATCATACTCCGAACCTTTCACCTCTGACAGTGGTAGTGTTGCTGGTATGATCAGCAGAGATGAACTGCTGAATGTCATGACAGAGGACTTGGTTGACTGGTTTATGCAAATGTATCCTAGTCTTACGCAAGACCTGGAAGTGGACACATTCTATGATCGTCTATCGGATGGTATCCTTTTATGCCATCATGCCGCCGTACTGCATCAACTTCTGATGGATCAGGGCTCAATTACCTATGAAGGCGAACGAGCGGTTCTGATGGGTCTGCGCATTGGCGGAGTACAAGCGGTACTGCCTAAACATAAACCTAGCTACCAAACTCGGGTACAGAGGGGCAGTGTCGCAACCAGTGGCTTTGTGGCTCGAGACAATGTTGCCAATTTTTTGATATGGTGTCGTCAGCTGGGAATGCCTGATTCTGTTCTCTTTGAAAGTGAAGATGCTGTGTGTCGCAAAAACCCTCGAAACGTGGCTGTCTGTTTGCTAGAATTGGCGCGTCTTGGCGGGTCACTTGGCATGTCTGTACCAGGATTAATCCTCCTGGAAAAAGAAATTGACGAAGAGTTGGAGAAATCTTGTGTGATCACCGATTCAGCCTTTAGAACGGAGGGTTTAAATACTCATTCTCCTGAGGAGCGAAAAGTCGTGATAGTTCGTGAGAATTCAACCGACCCAGCCTTATTCATAACAGTGGACAAAGCGGTGGACCCACCTGACATTCCGTCTAACGAATCTGCAGTCGAAAACGGTGTATCGAGTACCGTATATCGCAGCACTCGATCCACCGACCTTCGACGAAAGAAGAGTCTATCCGGTTCTTCGGAACGTTACTGTCTTGATAAGAAGAAAGAAGCCATGAAACAGAAACCAGAAATTAAACGACCTGCAGTAGATATGCGGTCCCTGGATGAGATAGTAAGCCTTTTGATTTTTCATCATAATAGACTAATCTTTCCAAATATACTCAAACGCTACACACATAGTAATTTCGTTATGCGGTCTGTCAACAGCGCTGTTTTGTCATTTTCGTTGAATGAATCTAGCTTTACTTGTAATACAGTCCAACCTGCAACGGGGATCACTTGTCCATAGGGGCCACCTGTCTAAGGGGACCAGTTAAAACACCCACATAACTTTTCCCACATTTTCTCATGTATCTTAATCTGTTTATCATGTCCACCGGTCTAACGCAACCGCGACCACATTTTCTGGTCCCCAGACGTTCTAGCACCTGTGAAAGTCTACCATCAATAGCGCGAGTGGCTGAGATTTCGTCTCAACGTGTCATAACTTGCCCCATATTGTGCTTTTCTTTTATGGATAACAACACTAGAAACTAACAGTACGATCTTAAATTACTTATCCCAGCGTGCAAGTTAGTGTCTAAATGGTCTGTGATTTGTCCAACAAAGTGCACGTTATCAGTAATTCCCGGATAACATGGGAAAATTATTTGCCGTTGTCTAGCCATGCGAGTATTTGGTACGTATAAATTACAGCGAATAAACTGAAACTACAGCATTCTATATCCACTTCGAGCGAGCAATTTCTGGTTAAAGCGTCTGAGAAATAGAAACTGGCAACATCCAAACCTGCAAAACTAACGGCCTTAACACTTGAGAAAAGAATATCAGTGATTCGGCGATCTCAAGCCGAAAAAGTTTACGCTCACTGACAGAACATTCCTGAGTATGAAAGACCCAAACCAGAGGGAAGCCGAGTATTTTGATGAAGTTGTAAAACACGTAACAAGACTAAAATATTATTAGCAGAAAAACGGGAAATAATGACGAAACACTCTTTGTTGGAAATGATGCTAGTTTGCACTTACAGGATAATCTCATTATCTGGACCTAGGATTTAAGAACAAACTTAGCACTTTGCAAATTAATTGGCAAACTCAAAGCTTAAGCATCAAACGGTTAGCTGTAGGCTATCCTCAATAGGCACAACCATATGTTTCGTAAGCAATCTGATGAAAGCGATGACTCAGGTATGTTTGCTGCATCAACCTAGACAGCAAATTTATCCGAAATATATTCTGCTTACGCACCTGAAAATTACATTAGTTTAAATGACACTGGGTTATTACTCAAACCGACGTAGGACAAGGTATTTTTATCAAAGGAGACAAATGTACAGGTGAGAAAAGGCAAATAGCGTATCACATTTATGCTGTGTATTAACATGTTGGGGTAGGGAGAACCGGCTTTAGTGATTGGGAAGTCAGCTAACCGTCGAATTTTTAGAAACATTAACAGAAAATATGCGACCGGTAGTTTACAAGAATAATAAAAAGGTATGGATGACTGCATTAATCCGACCACATAGTTGGACTGCACTTTGCATCGCCGAGGAATATACCATTTATTTATGCTTGAAGCTTGGCCTAAAATCATCGATAGAAAGAAGCAGCAGAAATGCGCAACATCATTTTCTTTCTTGACTTTTGCCATTTGCCTTCCCAAAATTCAGCTAAATAATGTCAGAATGCCTTTCCTGCTATGTAACAGCAGTGAAAGTTCAACCTCTTGACCAGTCTGTCGTTCAGGCACTTAAAGTGTAGGAAAAAGCAGTTTCGACCTGTTATCACGAACATGGAACTGAACTCAGGAAACGGATAATTTTATTAGACGTCTTGTTTTGGATCACTGCCGTACGTAAGGAGGTGGCGAACTCACAGTCTCTAAGTGCTTCTGTAAAGTACGGTGTTCTGGTCCTACACATATAGATTCTGAGATGACAATGAAAATAGACTTGAGGCAGACGGGCTAATTTTACTTCCTACAGTCTCAATTATATTGGGTAATGTCTCAAAGGCATTTTTGGGATGCCAACAGTTTTTAAGCATTAAATTTGTAACAAAAGTATTAAAGTAGGACCTACCTACCACTTCAGTTTTAGCAGCTGTCAATGTAACTAGTTAAAAGGAATACGAGCAAGAACAAGATTGCACAGACGTTCTGCCAACGTATAGATTCACAGACGCAGGGCGCTGTTGATATTTCGCGCTTGTACGTATGCCTGAAATTATCATGAACGTGCGGGAACAACTAAATTCATCTCTTATTGCAGCTGCCAAGCAGCAGACATCTCTAGTGACTATTTCATCTTGCGTAAAGTGATACTGACAATCGAAGAGTATATGTTCATGAATTTGACTTGAACTTGTAGATCACGCTGATTTACATGTTAGTATTTGAACTGTTTACTCATAGAATGCAATATTATTTCATTGTTCTCGCTCAGATATCCTACAGTATGCAATATCACTGTCATTGACCTAATCCGAATATTAGAACTGTTTGCAGAAGTTGTTTATGTACAGACTTAGTTGCATTTGAAAGTGTAGTACATATGTGCAGACCAGTATGAGTAGTAGCTTCTAAGCATGAACCTGTCCATGGGGATCAACTTTATTGGGGAATCACTTTTTGTCGCTCACACGAGTAGTCGTCTTAAACAGGTTTACCTGTAGTTCGTTTGGTTCATATGAATGCAATTAGTTTCACCGGGCTAACTAACCGCACAGGGCGAGTCTTTCAACACAATAGTTTACCAGTTGGCGACTCCACTTTGGTCTAAAATTCGTGCTACACACCAACAAGGCGCAATCATAAACATAGATGCAGAAATAAGTCTTATGAGTGCATCCCGGCCCATTGCCCCTCACCGTCGGACGTAGGGATACCCACGCTATTTCGAATCAGTGACTTGTGGATTACAAAACCAGCGCCTTATATCGATCTACTAGTAGATAAGTCCGAGGCGGTTTTCTGAGCATTATGCACAAATGACAGGCTCTTTCAATCTATGATCGCTTACTCGACTGTACCGTAGGTTCTTAACTGACGTTTGTCTCCCGTCACCAATCAAGCGTAATGTCTAGGTAGTTATCTTGCTGCTAAGAAGCGCGTTAAACATAACTACAGCCAGAAGGTCTAAAAAGCTTGGCGGCTATGAAGTTGGGTCTAGGGCTAACGCTCAACGCTCAGGCATTAGTAGTCGGAAAAAGGAAAGTCGGTATCTTCTGCCTTTGTTAGGTATTTGCGGACTCCAAAAAACACAGTAGAACGTGAAAATCATCAACATACAAATTCCCACGTGCACCAGCCCCACTCTTGCAAACAACCCTAAGGTAACTGGCATCCAGTCTAAACTGAAGCGGACTTACGCGTGTTGGAAGTTTATGGACTGCTATGCTAAAATGGAAGGAACATGGATCAGTGGATACCGAAGCACACACACACACACACAACTTATTGGGTAGTGAGGGAAACGCTGTACTACGAAAGGATGAAACCAGGTCGTTGATAGAGCTTCGTCAAAAGTGAGCTATTGATAATGGAAACGAAACCAAGACAATATCCCTACGTTGAGTGAAAGCTGGTGGGAAATCTAGGAGCAAGATACATGGGACCGGAGAATGAATTCCATGACTGCTTCGATATAAACCAATAATGTGAACCACGTAACGCTTCCAAATTACACAGTGTAGCTAAAACATTCTACCCGTAAAAATGTGTTTAGACGCCTTTCCTTTATTATGCATCTAAGGGTAGCTATACTACGGATTCTGCTATCTTGAGCCTACTACTAACATATAATCATGGCTGCGAGTGACGCTGAAATTTACCCATTTGTTATATGCAGCCTTAGTAGTCCACATGATCAGTACTCACGTACAGTGATTTAATCAAAACTTAGGTCACATGTCTCGTCCAAGGAAACAGCCGAAAATCCAACTCTCGTAGTGAGCACTTGGCTTTTGTTAAAGAGTTACCAATCATGCAGGTAGACCGGTAGTACAGAAGCCAGCCAGAAATTATGATGTCCTTAGCCCGAGCCATAAATCGGACTTCGTATGCGCACCGGCCGGATGCAAACATGCAACCAGTTTATTGTTTCTACTCCGTGAACCTTGAGTTTTGTCCACTCAGATTCAGTGCGATGAACCAAACGGAAGCATATGAAGTTTTGTAGATCAGTCCGCCGATTATTTTCGAAGTCCGTTTTCTGCCCAATCAAGGAAAATGAAACGAGCGTAAAACCAAAGTAATACCTAAACAGCAATTAATGTGGAATGCGCTTTTTGTGTTGTCTCGCGGGGGAAGCACATTATGACGATGGCCGCTATCCTCGTTATTGTCAGCATTGAATAAGGTGATTTTGTAAAGTATTTTGTAAAGTATTTTGATAAGAGTATTGTTGATTGTGTTAGGGTTGGACTCAATCTTTCCCCCTAATAAAGTGCTTCTCTGCGTGTAGGTGTTCTGACCTGTTCTTTGTCTTTTTGGAATACATCCAAAGTCAATTTCAGATTGAAGGGTTGACATTTGTGTATTGCATTTAACAGCGGAATTCCAAGGCAACATGCGCTGCTTCATAACCGCACAGATTTTTGCTGAACTGTTGAATCCCTGCAATTTAGTCAAACACCAGCGTTTCCCTGCATACCAAAGTAATAGGCTTTATCATTGTATCCGAGTACCGTACCGTTCTTCCACATCTCGAGTTCATTTGAATGAAAGCATGGATGATTGTACCCCGAACGGGAGATAACCCGCCTGCTTGGCAATATACCTAGTTATTTCTTTAAGAACATAGTAACGTAGCACTATCACGGTATGAAGAATGTTCGTTCTTGCTGCCTAAGCTCATACTGACTTCTGCACCATGGACTCAGTCAGGTTTGCCGGGCAATCTAACTATTTCGCTGGCCGTGGTAGGCTGACCTGATAGTCTATCCCAAAGCACAGATTACGAGGAAAAAGGTATCCAAATTCGGTAATATAACGAAGACAAACTACAATATTTTAAGACTACGGTTTATTTAGATACTGCATTGCACACAAAATTGAGCGAGTAGCTCCGTCACTCGTTTCTTTAGTGACCTGCTGAGTCAACAGCGTCCA